GTTCCTGACCTACCTATCTCCCTATGAAGTCATACCCTTCAGTGCTCAGCCCATGTAAGTTCTCAGTACCAAGGCAGGCTCTACAGATTGCCATTTGCACAAGAGATCAAACTTCTCTGTTATCACATTATTAAACTGTGAACTCCTCGATGACAGTGGCTATACATTTCTTATTTTTGCTGCTAAGACATTAAAAATGTGGCCTTGGGGTCCTGCAAGGCATTGCTTGTTGAGGGAATGAAAAGCCTTTCTTTGAAGACATCTGTCATCCGTCTTCTGGACTATAAATGTGTGGAGTGGTTTCAATTGGGTTAAGTACACAATGTTACATTTGATTGTCTTGACAATTGTAGGACACAGCTAATGTGAGCGTCCATTTCCACTTGAATAAGAGAAAGCTCAGATGCCAGACAATTTGCCCAAATTCAATTCCTGGTTTGAAAGATTCCAGGGTGGATGCTTCTGATTGCTGCTCGTGTTTAGGTACACGTGCCTGTGTGGTGTTGCTCTGCTTGTTGCTGTTTGAGTGACTCCTTTGGGGGCTTGGATGCCAATTCGAACGTTCCCAGCATCTCTGTTTAGCTGGCAACAGGAACTCAGTTCATTCTGCTCACGGCAGAGAATGCAAAAGCACCTATTTTTTTCCCCCATAAATAAATCTGAGAGCCAATATTGGAATCTATAAATTCTCTGTTATTGAGAGAAAAGGAGGTGGAAGCTATTGAGTATTTCCCAAGCATCCCATCCTTCCCGGCAGTGGCAGATGGGGACGCGGACAGGAAGTGAATGCCGAGTGGCTGTCGTGTGTCAGACACCATGGGGTGTGCCCAGAGAGCAGGCTTCATTCCAGCACTGCACGCTCCCAGCCCCTCCCTTCATAGAGCTGACCCTTCCCTGCCTCACGTCCCTGCTGCACCCCTGCCAGTGCACCCTTGAAGCTACATCATGTGCCTTGGTGTCTGTTTCTGCTCTTCCTCTACACCTGCCTGACCAAAATGGTACCCAATGGCCTCCGGTGCGCCTGAGCATTTGGAATGTATCCAGTTCAAATGGAGTGGCGTCGTGTCAGATACACCCCACAGTCCTCATATGAATACTAGGATCGAAACTGTCTCATTTTTATTTTAAGTCGATGTCAAGATGGTGACATTCTTTATGGATTGTGCCTAAATAAAATATATTAGAATTAAATTCTGCAGGTGCCGTGGTGCACATATGCAATCCCAGCACTCTAGGAGGCTGAGGCAGGAGTACTCAAATTTTGAGTTCAGCCAGGGCAGGTAAGCAACTTGATGAGATCCTGTCTCAAAAATAAAAAATAAAAAAAGGCTGGGGTGAATGTGTCGTATTTTGTAACATCGAACCCCAGATGTTCTCTGGCTCCAATGAAGAGGAGACTTGAAATCTATTGGGAACATCCCAGTGAAGTAATGTATCCCGGTCATATGGAGGAAAAAACTTTTTTCTAGTACTAGGAATTGAATCCAGGGACTGCATTGCACTACATCCCCAGCCCCACTCACCTTTTTAAAAAAATTTGAGACAGGGCCTTACTAAATCACTGAGTAGCCCAGGCTGGCACAAACTCTCAGTCCTCCTGCCTGGGCCTCTCAGAGTGTTGGGATTACAGGTGTGTGTCATATACCCAGCTAGATGGAGAGCATGTAGAGGGTCTCCTCCACATGCAAAGGCAGCTCTTTACGTGAAGAGACCAGTGGACAGAACAGAAAAGCTAACGGAGTGGTGGTCAGCTGGAGTCTACCGTGGGGAGTTAGTAGCAAGGCTGGGACACAGTGTGGAGAAACCTCCGAAACTTCTTCCCCTTGGTGTGAGAATAAATGGTGATTCCCCCTAGGCAAGCGAGCTGCAGTAGGGGCTGTGGCATTGCCTCCATACCCCTTCCTTCCCTTCCACGCTGATGGCTTCTTGTGGCTCTACCTGAGGCCTCTGTCCGGCCATAGCAAGGTGCTCAGTTTGTACACAGGGCAAGGTAGGAGTGGTGGGGAGTTAGCACCCTGGATGGAAGCGGTCCTCATCTGAGGATGTGTGGGGACGGAAGGGTGAGCATTGCCCTCCAAGTGGGGCAGACCCAGGGCTATGCACAGTTCATTGCAGTGGCTGTTGCTCCTCAGCAGGCCTGGAATTGGCTTGTCTTGTTCTGTCTTCTTTCCCACTCTCCCATCTACACTTCTTGTGGTAATCTCTGAGCTCTATTCCCATCCATGTCTGTCTCAGTGCTGGACTCTGGAGGCCACACAGAGGGCAGGGCCAGGCGGGGCATCCGGTGTCTGACTCCTGGTCACCTTTGTGCTCATCTCCTCTCCCCTCCCACTAAACCCTGCACCTGCTCCTATAACTGCTTTCACATGCTACGGCTTCTGGCCACACCATTGCGCAACCTTGCTCCTTCCCTGGGAGATCCAAGATTGCCCGCTTGGCGCTTGGCTTTCACAGACCTGCGAACTAGGTAGCAGCTTCCCATCATGCCTCTGGCCCACTCCACTCCATCCTCACGTCCTTGTTTCAGCTGCATCATTCTCTTCTGCGAACGTACCCTTCACATTTTGTCCCCTCCTGAGTCCCACACAAATGTTTCCCTGTGCCCCACAAGGCTTTGGAAATGCTGACCTCCATTACTACCCCAGCCTCATCCAAACTGCTGAAACGTTTTTGTTTCCAGCACCCGGGAGGTCTCCTTCCCCTTCCTGGAATTAGGAGGGAAGACTTTGACTTTCAAGTTCTGTTTCTGAACTGTGCTCAACCGTGGCAGTGTACTGAGACTGGCCGTGGGGGCCTTGAGATTTATGCAGTGGGTGTGAACCTCTACCTAAGGACACGGACATTCTGTGAGAACATGTAAGAAGGTCTCAGGGTAGTGGCGCTGTAGGAAGTTCGGGGACAGTGCGCTATCTCTCCTATTCCATGAATTCCACTTTATATGCGTGAAATTTTATGGAGACAGTGCCAGGTGTAGTTCATTGGCCGTCTGCTGAGCAATAGGGTAAAACACAGGGCAGCCTTCCTGGTGATGGATTCCTCCCTAGTGACATCGTAGCTCTTGTAAATGTACTTTGATCTTTCTCTGGGATAGCCTGGAGAAGTGTAGATCACAGAAATGGAGACTGCCGACAGGAGCCGAGTTTCAAAATCAGGACTTTTACAGCGCACTCAGATGGAGGACCAGAGAGAAAAGAAAGCTTGCCGCACATATGAGTGGCTACAGAACAGGGCAAATGTACACGTGTGACCTTGAAAATCAGAGGGAAACGGAACCCCTGGAGAATTTTTAGTGAGGGACAGTGATTTGAAGTGCACTATAGTTTACTGTCATATAATGCATGAAGCAGGGTGATAGGTGCCGCAGGTGTGGATTCTCTGACACCTAATAGCTGTGTGACCTCAGACACATGCGATAGCTCTCTGTGCTTCTCTTGTCACCTGCATATGGGCATGACAGATGGTATCTCTTAGTCCCGCTGGGAAAGTCAGCAAATTAGTACATGCACAGCTCTTTCAGCAGCGTGCAGTAGATACCTCAAAATGTTTGCTATTATAATTACAGTGGACTCTTGAGTTATGACTGGCCTGACATATGAACAACTTTGGCTATGACCAGAATTTTAGTTTTCACTTATGAAGGAAGTCTTGAGTTACGACCCGAATGCTGGCCGCTTGTGCTTCCAGATGGTCTCAGAAACAGATTTAACCCTTCTGGAAGGAACATTCAGACATCATTTTCTGTGTGGGGTTAACTGAGAAGAACTGGGCCAGGGTCTCCCTGAGGACACTGAGCGCTGCCTGTGCACAGGAGAGAGACTCTGAAGGCTGTGCAGAGGAGCCTGAGCCTTCAGTTGACCGACTTGAGTTACGACCAGCCCTCAGGAACGACTTGAGTTCCCAAGTCAAGGATCCATTCTTTTGGTCGTACTATCATTGGCGCCTGTATCAGCAGTGGCATCAGTACATGTTTTTAGTGGTTCTTTTGCCCAGTGCTTTTCTTGCACGAGGGAATACAAATGTGTTTTAAAACATTTCTAACTGACAAATGATAGTGCATATTTATCATGAGCAATGTGAGGTCTGAAATGTGAAGCACTGTGAGGTGGCTAATGGAGCTCATTAACACAGGGATCAGCTTGCAGACTTACTATGCTAAATGTCTTTTTAAAAGCTCATCTCCTTTCAGCCCCTGCTTTCTCCTTGGGCTCTTTAGGAGTCACTCAATTTTTCTTCACTGTCCCCCGTTCCTTGCACCCTAACTGTGGGGCTGCTCATGCAACAATTATTTATCTGGAGCAAACGATGCCAGAAGAGGATATGCTATGCTGAATACTTTATTTATATCTTTTATGTAAACATAATTTGCTTTGTAGGCACAATATAACAAAAGCTCTAAAGCCACAAACACAGTAGACAATGTTTCAGTTCACACCACTCAAGCTTAATCTACAGAGAAGCCTTCTCAGGTCTTTAAGGCAAACTGAGACGTTCTGTACACTTCCTTCAGAAAAACAACCGTGAGACAGGAAAGAAGGTGCTTAAAATGGGAGTCCATGGAATGATTCACTGTAAGGTTTCCCCCTTCATCCTTCATCGCAGAAACTGATGTTGTTGGTCAAACTCTAGGTTCCTCATTCTGAATTCTGAGGATAGGCTGATCACTGGATGAATGTGTGATTATTGGATTAACTTTTCTGGTTAAAAAGCAGATTTTGGAAGGGAAGACCTCATGTCCTTTCCTCTGGACATCCTAAGAACCATCTTGATTCTGAACATGGTCAGTTCCCCCCCCCC